TAATGAAATATTTAATGTTCTATTGAATTATTATTTAAATATCATTTGGAACAAAGTGACTGGGACAAATCTATAACAACAATGAAAGAACATCAGCTGAGTATTTTTCAGCCTAGAAATCAATTCTATTTCAAATGTCAGTGAGTGGTGTACTTACAAGGTTGAAAGTTGACTATGTATTTGTGAAATTTGACAGTGTCAATCACTAAGCAATGGCCCATATCTTTTGTTTCTGAAAATTTCCTATGCTTGAAAATAAAAACCAGCATCATAATGAAGATCTATTATACCAGGTATTTAAAAAACTTAGTCATGTGAAGTAATGCATTTCAATAAATTGGGCAATATAAATAGAAGGCTGAATATAAGGATATGCAATGAGTGTACGTACTATATCTGTTGCTACTAAGAGTAGAAGTAAGTACCACTTTAAATTTCACATTATGTGACTATTATCTGTAAGCATGGATTGACATGGTATCAATAGTTTATAATTAATGAATTTATTTATGTTTTTAAGGACTATTTTTAAAAATTGAATTTTAGGGAATGAGGAAGGGAGAGGGAGAGAGAAACATCGATGTGAGAGCAGAACATTGGTAGGCTGCCTCCTGCATGTCCCCTATCAGGGATTGAGCCTGCAACCTGGTCATTTGCCCGGACCACAAATGGAACCTGCAACCTTATGGTGCATGGGACGATGACTAACAAACTCAGCCACACTGGCCAGGAATAATTTAGACACTTAAAAAGGCTTTTTGATGCAATTTCTTCCTCAAAGCAACTCTTACCTCAGTGCTACAAACCCACTGATGATCTTTCTAACAAAATTCTACAGCATGAGTTCAGTAAACAGAGTAACTGACATAAAAAGTTAATTTATATTCTCTATTAGATTTAATTTCAAATATTCTACATGTAAAGGTTATTTGAATTAATGTTTTTCTGAATTTGAAAGATATACATTGAGGGTTTTTTCTCACACCTTTTGTTTATTCTGTAGAAATGTGATTTTATGGATATAGAGTTAACTTTTTTCGTAATCTCTTAAGTTCAAATTCCAGCTCCTCTACTATTTGTGTGACCTTAGAGAAATTGCCTCTGAGTTTCATTTTCCTCATATTGTAGGCTTCATTTAAAGACAAACTATGATAACATTTGTAAAGAATTAAGAAGAGTGCTTGGTATATGTAAGTAATTCAAGTAATTGCTATCAAGAAAAAAGAATCAATATTATCCCATTCATTTATTAAAAAGATATATAACCATTTATATGCACCTCTCATGTATAACTTGATATTAATACTGAAAAAAAAACTGTCCTCAAAGTTTGAAGATATTATCAGGCAATACTGCCCAACTTCAGATATAACCAAATATCATTTATACAAGTATTTACTTAATAATTTTTCAAATCATTTTTATCTATCCTGACATAGAACAATATTTAGATGTGCTTTTAAATGTGCTAGTCATATTTTTTTTAAAAATTTAAACATAATATTCAATATACAGGGACTAATTTAAGATTCTCTCTGACCTCCTAGAATCATCCTGTGGCTGGTCAATGTTGGTGTACCTCCCTTTAGTAATGATTGCTTGTGGGTTTTTTCTAATTTATCTTTATTGTTGAAATTATTATAGAAGTCCCCTTTTCCCCCCACTGGCCACCTTCACCCTGCTCCTGCTCCCTTCCCCAGGCCTTCACTGCACTATTGTCTGTGTCCATGGGTTATCCATATATGCATATAAATTCTTTTGTTAAACTCTTCCCACCTCCCCTCTTCCCTTGAGATTGGTCAGTCTGTTCCATATCTCTGGATCTATTTTGTGAAGTTACATAATCATATATATCTCCCTAGTAAAAATTTCTAACAATATGACAAATTTTAATAATTTACAAAGCAGTAGCTTTATGAACATTGAATTCGTTTAAAAAAATCGAGGTTACTGACTAAAAGTACAGGATTTAACAGAAGTGTATAATTTCCAAAAGCTTTTAAAATTCATCAGTGAATATGAGTATTTCATGCTACTAATACATATTCATTCATTTCAGGCTTTGGTCATAAAGCATCTTTAAGATACATAACTATAACTGATGATATGAAAAGTAATTAAAACCTGCTATTACCACAAAGGAGCATTATCAGGTTAAGTTTACTTACTGGTAAGATTGAACAAAGCAAATTCATTTTCTTTCAGGATTTGAAATAGAACAAGGAGCAATTTCTATACATCAGAAAGAATTATGTATTAAAAATAGCATATACATATGAAAAGAAAATTTTTCCCCAAATATTCTCTAAACTATCATTGAGAAAACTTCCTACCTATATAAATAGGTAGAAAAGAAAAAGTTTGTTCCTAGAGAAATATGATATCATATATTTATAGTATTATGGGTTGTAAAAGACCTATCTTGGTGCATTTTATTGATATTTGATTTTAAAAACCATTGAAAAATTCCCTATTTTGAAATATAATTATTGAATATCAGATTTCTGTCAATGACATGGGTTACATAATCTAATACGTTGAAATCATTGCCAACACTTCTTGTGGAATTTAAGCCTTTCCCTTTGAGTTAACAGTTAAATGTAGTTTAAAAAAAATAAAACCCTGTCATTATTACAAAAAATATTATGGAGCGATCTATGGCATTTATGACATAGCTGATTTTACTACATTTAGTGGGGGCGGGGGGGGGGGAACAAACTGATTGTGTTACTTGTTAGCAATCATTTCTCCAACAAGGATTCTTCATTAGGGTTTGGGAAGGTATATACATATACTTTCATAGTTTATATATGTATCTAGATAGTGGAGTTTTAAAGGTGCAACTTTTAGATTACATGTAAATTGAATTTATCTAATAGAATAAATTTCTCTTCTCAAAAAAGAATAAGCCTAGATAGATACATTTCCTTTTTTCTTTCAACCTTTGCCCAACAGGTATCCACAAGAGATAGAGAACTGTGGATAAAAGAGAGAAAAATAAGATCAAAACAGAGATGCTAGTTGTTCAGCTTATTTTCTCCCCCAAAAGGTATGAAGAATAAACACCATAAGAAAACTCTCATCCCATATTGCAAGGCAAGAGGCCCTTTTGACAACATTACTTTCATATACAAAAATAAAAAAATAAAAAATAAAAAAGGAACATTTGTGTAAATTTATCAAGTTGATAAGGTTTTTTTCATGAAATAAAGATTCTATTAATCAATAATATAGTTACATCACAATATTTAGATGGAGATGTGGGGAAAGACTTTGTAGGAATATCAAGATATATTTATTCAAGTAAAAAAAAAAGATGTAAACTAAATTACTTCAGGGAAAAGGATGGTGATATATCTGGTGAGCGTCAAACACAGCAGAGAGCAACAGGGGTTGTGCAAGCTGGAAAGGATGTGCCCCATCTGAAAGCCTTCCAGGTGACAAAAGAAAAAATTAAATCTGTGCAGGTCAACACAAAACACATGCTGACCTAATGTAGACCACAGGCCGTGAGACTGAGACCCTAGTGTGAAGGCCTGGGGTGGGGGGCAGGGACCGGCTAGCAGGGGGATAAGGGGGACATATGTAATACTTTCAACAATCAAGATAAAAAACAAAGCAAAAACAAGGTAAATATATAAACAGGAAATTAAACTGAGCTCACCCTGTCTGCTTGATGTTAAAAATCTAAATCTTTTTTCCTGTTAACTTTTATTTTACCGTTTTATCTGTGTTTTCAGATTTAGACAGTACAAAAGACTTAGATGCAACCAGGGCATAAATACATACTAAAAATTAGAGCTGACAGATAACTTTGATATTGTCAATATTACATAGCATTCATTAGTCACAGCAGTGACATCTTATTCTGCCTGGTCTCTTCCAGCAGGGAATTGGTACTCCAATCCACTCCCCTTCACTCCACTTCCCTCCCCTCCACTCCACTCCAACTTCGGTGGCACTGTCAACAGTGGTATCTTATAGCCCCTGCCACACTGCCCAGTGTTTCATCCAAGAGAGGACACATAACCCCAGGAAGATATAGCAAGACCTTTTTACAGGATTAATAGAGACACCAAGACAATCTCTTCTGAGACTGAGGAGTCAGGATGTTATACACATAACAGTATAAGAATCATCTTTCCCGTTGATATAGACAGAGTTCCACAGAGAATGAAGTGAACCCAGAGGAACCAGAGCCACAAAATGTAGACAAATTCTTACAACATAATAAAGCAGCTGGATCTAATTGTGCCACATCTAGTTAACGCCAGGAATTTTCAGTTATGGGAGTTAATAAAACCTCTTCTGTGTTTAAGCAAGTTTAGACTACGTTTCTATTACTTATAAACAAAAGTGTCATAAATATAAGAGGCCAAAAATGGGATTTTGGTTAATTTGCATTTATCCATTCACATCTCACTGTACCCATAGAGACTTTCTATTTAAAGAACAAAACCAATTTTTCCCCTAGGGATTTTTCTAATCCAATGTACACAAATATTCTAAATTATCCAATTATCCCAACCTAATGATTAGTACCACTGGAGAGGGGACAAATAAAAGAAGAGCCGTTATCTTATTCACTAATACATGTTCTACATATACTTGGAAGCAATTTTTTAATAGAGGATAAAATCTATTATTACTAATAGTCAAGATATCAATTATATAAATTATCAACCATACCAGGTTTATTTTATGAACCCATCTAAGTATTAGTGGAACAAATTTTTAAAAAATTTAAAAGCATTTAAACCAATTTTTGTTACATGGCACAGTACTTCAGTTGTGTCACATCAATACACATGAATATCAACGAGGTGGCCCATAACAAGGAAGTCACAAATACCATCCACCTACTAATCTCTGAGGTATGATTAATGAAAAGACTATTTCAGAAAACAGTTATCATCTCCATCTCCAGCAGTTAAATCAATAGTCCCTCTCACCACATGTTTCAAAGATGAACCAAACCAGAGAAAGCAATGCATACTCACAAATTATAAAGCATGTCAGCCATGTTGCTACGGTAGTACAAAGCATTCCTATAGGCGCTTTCAGCTTCGGAAATTTTGCTCTGACTCTTCAGAACATTTCCAAGGTTACCCCATGCTGCCAAGGAGAGAAAGAAGTATTCAGGCTGAGTATCAATCCAATTATACGTGACATAGTATCAGGCCATCAGGAAGTACCACAGGGAGAGAAAAGCTTCATAAAACATTTTTAAGATGGAAAATTTATTTCCTTTATACTCTAACATTTCATCAAACCAGAAGATTAAGTGCAACCAAAGCCTAAAAAAATCTAAAGTAATTATTATGTCTCAAAGCTGATACACATATACAGTTCATCATAAGGCCAAGAACAATGTTATCTTAAGATCACCTACAAAGACTTCATGGTCTTTCGAATTTCAGTAGGGGTCTTCATGGCCTGAAATTACTGTATGCTAACTGGGCCAGAAACTGTAAGAAATCACCTTAAAATAAACAAAGATCTCATTCAAATATTTAAAAACTGATAAATGACATAGGAGAACTGGGAATGAAAAGCAGGAAAACTAAACAAGATCAAAGCTATAAAGAGGCTTAATGGGCACTGGGACATATCAGTAAAACATGCTTCGTAAAACAGTTAAGTATAATAAAGTTCTTTTATACCCTTCCTGCTAACAAACACATTTCTGTGAAAAGCAGTATCCCAGTATTTCCACATATAATCATATTAAAAGAATCTATATTTTGTGTGCTCTTTGTTTTTCACCCCAAATAATCATGATTTCTCAACATTAAAAAGAATAAAAGTCATAATTCTTTTATCAACACCTGCCCATATAGCATGACTCTCAAGCAGAACTAGCCCTCAAACTGGGATGCTTCTCTTGTCTTCCTTCCTTCGCACAAAGAAAGATGGGGTGTCAAGTCCTAAAACTAGAGTCCCTCACAGCTAGATGGGGATGGGAAAGTTTGTGTCAAGATATATTTGGGTGATTACTGAGTCTACCTGAAGAATGAAAGCAGTTTTTAAGTATCAGTTTTTTAATGCCTAAGTATAGAATCTTTCAAGCCCAGATGTGCCTATGTGCCCTATAATTTAACAGTCTGTGTCTCAGTTTACTCATCTGTAAAATGGGAATTAGTATCTCATGGGCTTTGTGATATTAATAAATTAGTTAGCCGGCATGGCTCAGTGGATGAGCATCTACCTATGAACCAGGAGGTCATGGTTCAATTCCTGGTCAGGGCACACGCCTGGGTTGCAGGCTTGATCCCCAGTGTGGGGTGTGTAGGAGGCAGCTGATCAGTGATTCTCTCTCATCATTGATGTTTCTATCGCTCTATCCCTCTTCCTTCCTCTCTGAAATCAATAAAAATATATTTTTTAAAAGTTAGTAATATATATAGGGTGTTTAAGACAGTGTCTGACACATGGCAAACAATAAACATTTGCTATTACCACTGATATTGTTGTGGTTGATGCTCTTTGCAAATTACAGAGTCAAGCATTGATTATAGAAAAAATGTCAAATATTATACACTTTATGCACTCATATTATCTACACAGAATAATAATCTTTTGTATTTGGAAAGTCAAATACCTCCTTTTGCTGTTGACGGAAAAAAGAGAAAAAGGACTGAACTTAACAATTGTCCCAACCTAATAATGCTACATTCACCATGCCACAAACTTAAATACATCAGCTGAATTCTCAACACAGTCCTGAACACAAATATTATGCCCACTCTGTGGATGAGGAAACAGATTAAAGGACAAGTTAATACTGGAGTATTAATTACAGGAGGGATTCCAAACCAAGGCTGGCTGTTTGCTGCCCTCCACCTAACATTTTAATACCACATTTCATCTTCCACTGCAAAACGACATTCACACACTATGCATTAGGCCTTGATATTATGTCTATAGAAATTGAATCCTTAAATTGAAATATAAAAGAGGTAATTTAAATTACTGTCAAATTCGAACAGTAAATGCAACAAGAAATACAAAGTAGGGAAAACAAATAGTAAAATAAATTATAATTATTTTCAAACTTAATAGGCATAATACCATGTGTACTTTATATGTAGGCCCTCACCTACAAATTAATGAATCATGACTCTACGGAAACTTCTAACACCCAGGCTATTTTCGACCCACCTCACCTCTCCCAAAGTTCTGATTTGATTGTGACATTTATAAATGAAACCATATTTACATTAGAATCACTCCAGAGAAATGCATCCAAATATTATTTTAAGCATCAGGAAAACATAATTAGGATGCTACACCATCTAAAGCATAGTCCTAGACCAGGGGTGGGCAAACTTTTTGACTCGAGGGCCGCAATGGGTTCTTAAACTGGACCGGAGGGCCGGAACAAAAGCATGGATGGAGTGTTTGTGTGAACTAATATAAATTCAAAGTAAACATCATTACATAAAAGGGTACGGTCTTTTTTTTTTAGTTTTATTCATTTCAAATGGGCCGGATCCGGCCCGTGGGCCGTAGTTTGCCCACGGCTGTCCTAGACCATGCTCAAAAGAACATTATATTTTAAGGCGTATTTCCAGAGAAAGAGATTGACTTTTTTTTTCCAGATAGCTATACCTCAATTAAATAATAAACTAACAAGCATTCCTCTTGTTAATAGTCAACAGACATATGTATAGAATATATGTTCACTCATTTGGTTGCTTGTTCATTTATTCATTCATAAGTATATTCATTTACTAAACAGATCTTGGTTAATCCCCTCTTTTGTGCCAGGTACTTCCTTAGGGACTGCACACTTAGAAATGTACAGACATGCACTCAGAGCTTATGTGTGAAGTGGGGAGTAAAGTGAGATGGGAAAGAAAGTACCACACAATAGAGCAAATGAATGAATGAATGGATGAATGATAAGTGCTACAAATAACATAAAAGAAAGAGTACATGAAGCTAATTTAGACAGAGATAATTTACAAATAGGGAAATAGGTTTGATCTCTAAGGAATAAAGGATAAGGAGCCAGACTTACAAAGATTGATGATTCCAGATAAGGGGAATTGTTAGAGTAAAGGATATAAAGCAAGAATGCATTTGATTATTTCCAAGAACAACAAAGGCCAGCCAGTTGAGTAGTGGCAAGATGAAAAGAAAAGCCATGATGAAGTCACAGAGGCAAGCAGGAGTCCTTCAGGATCTGCTAAAGTCTGAGGGTTACTTGACTTGCAATGGGTGGGGGAGAACTTTCAGAGAGGAGTTTTGTGATATATCTTAATGTATTTGAAAAGATCACTCTGCCTCTTCTGTGGAGGAGGTACTCACTGCAGGGGAATAGCGAATGAACAGAGAGACCAAAGGTAACTGCAGTGAATGAAGAGGGCAAGAGCAGGGTGGCTTCCACTGCGACAGGCAGCAGACGGAGAGGGCTATTTCAAAGTGAGAATACAATTAAGAAATTAAGCCCTAGCCAGTTTGGCCCAGTGGATAGAGCATCGGCCTGTGGATCTAAGGGTCCCGGGTTTGATTCTAGTCAAGGGCACATACATTCCGGTCAAGGGCATGTACCTCAGTTGCAGGCTCCTCCCTGGCCCGGGCCCTGGTTAGGGTTCATGCAGGAGGCAACCAATCATGGGCAAGGTTATCTGTGGCAAAGCTACAAGGTAAAACTAACTTTCTTGTTTTTTGTCCAAATGAAATCTCTCACAATCTCTCACATCTTTATAATTAAGTCACTACCCTGGGTGACTCGAGGTGGGGGGGAAAATTCTTCAATTAAGCATATATTTTAAAACAATTTTAACTGCTTTTGGATAAAAGAGAAAGATAAGGAGGGAGAGGAGGAGGAAGAGGGGAAGAAGGGAACAGGTTGGGGTAGAGGGAGGGAGAAACATACAGAACCTGGTAGAACACCAGCTTGAGGTCAGATTACTCTGCGACCAAGATAAATACGAAAAAGCAAGACTACTTCATAATTTTATTAAATGAAAAGAGAAAAGGGTCACTGTATAACAATCCACAAAATATCAAACATCCCTCGCTTGCTAGAAATGATTTATTTATCCAGTCATAGAATGGTCTCAGCATCAAGACTAAAGGACACCCCTCATTCCTTATAACTTCTCCGAAATCACCCAACCAAAGTCCAGTTCCGACTACAGGATATGTAATGAGACACCACAGGGTCTCCATGGTACATTGGTCCCCCAGTGTAAGAAGTAAGTCACCTTCCTTACCACAGGTGTGTTCCTGGTGGTCTTTAGCTAAAGCGCACTGACAGCAAGGATTTCATCACACTCAAGTATGAAAACAATGCCACTTAAAAATCCCCTGTCCCTTAGATCATTGTTCTTCAATACAGTGTTTACAAAAACATATTTTAGGTTTTTAAAGTAAGAGCTGCCAAAACAAAGTCTAAAACTGACGCACAGATTTTTGGCGTAAAAACTGCTATCGCCATTTCCAAATTTTCAAATTTAAAGGTGACTGATTTTTGCATCAATGCTACCAAAACTCAATGCTAACGTAAAGATTAATACAAAAAATAGAAAAGCATCCTAAACCATATGACCTAATAAAAATCCCACCAGCAGTCAAATAGTAATTCTTTTCATGAAAGTTGTTCATTTATCACGTTTCAATAATAAAACAAAAAGTAAAAATCATTGTTGAATTGAGAAATCATTTAAAATCTAGCTAATGCAGATATATTCCAGTTTAAAGGAAAATATATTAAGGTGGAATACAAAATGTACATATTAAATAGGCTAATATGATAATTTCATGTGTACACACTTAACCTATAGAGTTATTAACCTATAGAGGAAAGACAAAATAAATACCAAGCATTTTAACTAATACTCAAATTTATTAGTAACTCAGAGAAATGCAAATGATAACAAAATATAATTTCTACTCAGATTGGCAACAAATAGAAAATTGGATAAAGACAAGCACTAGCAGGGGAAGGACCCTGTGCAGAGTTGGTGGCAGTGCAGCCTGGGCCAGCCATTTGTTATCCTATCTGACAATACTCAGTCAAATCAACGAATGTCATTCATAAGTCAAGGACAAACTCTGACGAGCAATCCCATTCCCAGGGAAATTCTCACCTAAGAGAACACGTA